GGTCGAAAGGCATTAGAAGTAGGGACCGAACGGCCCGCTTTGGGTATGTAAGATACCCGTACCTTAGTCCATTCTGCCGGCACATATTTCCAGGCGACACTCGCTCTGAAAATTTTTACCAAAATTGGCAACAACAAAGACCTCCCCTGCTGTAACAAAGCAGGAAAGATATTGTCTTCTCCAGGCGATTTGAACGGCTTAAACGTTTGAATTGCCTGGTCCACGGATGTGTAAGTGACGACTTTTCTAGCCACACTCCAATCCGTATTTGAGGGGCGCTTTGCCTTGCAGGAATAGCCCGCTGTGGCATTATCGGCCCTCATCATCAGGCTTCCTGGGAAGTGAGTCTGCATGAGAAGCTCCAACGAGGCTCTGCTAGAGTCCGTAAAACTACCGTCAGGCCGCCTAAGTGAGCCCAGGGGTAGTGCCGGATCTCTAGCGAGAATCTTGTGAATTCTTGCACTGCTGGGTGTGTCTTTCACTCCCTCACAGAACCTCCTCCAAGACTCTCTTTTTGCCTTACGTATGTTTTTGGTGTAATTCGTTAGAGCCTGTTTATATTTCTCCCATTCACCTAATGTCTTGGCCCGGTTGAAAAGCTTTCGGACCTCTTGTCTTTCGGAGCTAAGAGATTCGTTCCACCAGGGTGTGCCCCGATTACTACTTTTCACCTTCAGTGGACTGCTACTGTGATATGCAGAGCGAATTGCCACAGAGATCTGCTCCGTGGCTATTTCAACCTGATCACAGTTCCTAACGGTTGCGATAACACTAGTTAGGTTATCTGCAAGGCAACTCTTAAACAGATCCCAATTAGTGCTACGGGGATTACGGTACGTACAGTCCGATTTCATCCCTAGATCAATTTTAAATTGAATATGTCTATGATCTGAACACGACGGTTCAGAGGATACCCTCCAGGAGGTTATCTTAGAGCTTAATATAATTGAGCTGAACGTAATGTCAAGTACCTCTGCTCTATTTCTGGTAACAAAGGTTGGTTTGGCGCCTACATTATTAACAGTAAGCCCCTCCCCTAATAGGTAGTCAAAAAGTAACTCACCTCTTTCATTTGTGTTGGTGCTTGCCCACATTGTGTGCTGGGCATTTGCGTCACATCCAACAACAACTTGCAGGTTATTCCTCCGGCTGTAGGCAATTATGTCTCGCACAGCGGCCGGGGGAAGGTCATTTTCCGTTCCGGGGAAGTATGCCGAGCAGATAGTACTGGTTGATAATTACCCACTTTATTTGTCATGTTGCACTTGAACGCATGTACAGTCAGGATCATTGAATTGCGTCAGAGTGGGTAGAACCACGAAGCCGTTTAAAACCACTGTTACTAGGAGCGGTTTATTTCCAGTCCCTATTTCTCTTGTAGTCGGAGGAAGTCCCTGACACTTTCCTTTCACGGTGTATGGTTCTTGAACACACAAAATATCATAGTTATTCTTTTTTGCAATTGCAAATAACTCTGTCATGGAAGTCTTGCTACCTTGTGCATTTTTCTGACACACTCTTATTACTGCCATTAGAGGTGTCTTGTGTGTATATCGCTTTGTGGCCACTTTGCGTTATAATCAAGAGCGAGTCTGCCATGCGTCTTTACAAAGTCTTCGTATAGAGTTTGTATATCAAGAAACTCCTCTCGCCTGTCAAAAATTTCTTATTTAAGCCAGATGAGCCAATTTAAGTTGTATTGTCTTTATTATTTCGACCGGGATGTTATCCGGACCAGGAGCTTTTCCGTTTTTACACTGATTTATGAGAAACAACGTCTCTTCCACCGTTACTTCCTCCGTTTCCTCCTCCGATGGACACCGCTCTGCCAGCCTGCTTCTTAGCTGCCTCTGTTCGGGTGTTTCCTGCTGATCTTCATCTTCCGGAAGAAGTGAGTGAAGTAAGGTGTTTGCCGTTTTCTGCCAATTATTTGTAAAGCTTCCATCTGCCTTTTGCAGTGTAGAAAAAGTTGTTGACGATCTTACTTTTTACGAAATTATTTTATACGGCATACCCCACGGGTCAGTGGCTAAATTATCTTTTACAAATTTTGTTGCACATTTTTCTTTCTCATGTTCTATCAGTGTTTTGTACTCTCTTTTTTCAGTGTATCGTTCCAAAAATCATATACTCTCTGTCTACTTGTAGTAAACCTCGGAGTAGCCACGTTCATTGCCTCTTTTATTGATGTATTTATCTCCTTCGCGAGGTCATCTGTAATCTGTCACGTTCGCTATGCGAGGATTGAAAGCACTTCTAAGTTTTTCCCAGTTTGTCCTTTCGATGTCATAAAAAGTGTGGGGAACAGAAATTTCGTTTGTTTATCTTGTTTCTTTTAAACAAAAATCAATGACATTGTGGTCACTCACTGTCGCATGCTCTATTACCCTCCAGCTGTCTATCCGGCCTGATGCTTTAGTGTTGCTTAGAGTTACATCAATCTGAGGAGGCACCTGCTCTTCCTTGATACGTTGGCGCATGTCCTGGTTTATTTTCAACGTCAAGGCCCAGTTCTTGTATCAAGTTTTCCACTTCCTCTCCTCTTGTATTAGTCCCTGAGCTATGCCATAGAGGGGACTTAGCATTTACATCAGCCGTTAAAGCCACCGGTGCATGTCTGTATTCTATAAAAAGCTTTCGGGTCTTTTCAATGTGCGGGATGATATCCTACGAGTACTGGTAGTACTGGTTGATAAGCACCCACACATTTTGTCATTTTTTAACTCAATGCATGCGCAGTGAGTGTCATTAAATTGCGTCAGACTAGTTATGACTAAGAAGTTGTTAAAAATTATTGTCACGGCTTGTGGTTTTTGTCTAGTTCCTATTTCTCGCGTTTTTGGTGGAAGTCCCTGACATATCTCATTAATGGTATAGGGTTCTTGTATGCAAACTATGTCATACTTCTCTTACCTTTTGGATGTTTTAACCTTATTAAATGTCTTAGTGCCGTTGTCAACATTTGTGGTTCCTCTAATCTGCTCAGCTTATATGTTTCCTCAAGCTTAATGTATAGTCTGTTGGGATTGTTAATGTAGTCATTGTTTTCATTCCCTTTTTCATTGTTAATTTCATCAATATTTGAAGTGTCATCCTCGAATATCGCCTTTTCAGATTTGTCGTTGTATTGTAGCCTAATATTTTTTTATATTATTTTACACTTTTCGGTCTAGTGACTAGCAAAAAACAAAACTAGACCGGATTTGAATACAAAAACATTACTTGAAACTTTACAATTAGCAAAAAAAATTTAATAAAAAGGATACATTTCAATAATTGACTTAATTGAAATTTACAAACTTATATTTTCTCACTACCCATTATTACGGCGAGATTGTACTAATGTTTGTATTTTTTAATTAAAATAAAATCAGGCTAATAAAGATTAACACCAGCGTTGAATTTTGAAATAAATTTATTTACAATTTAGATGACGTCAAAAACTTGTTTACAATATCTTCGGGGTTGAGTTAACAGTCGAGTTTGGTGAGTGCATTGAATCGGATGATATTGGAGTTTATTTTTGAAATTTGCTTTATTCGGCTTTAATCAGCCGATTTATTAATTTTTGGAATACCTTCGGGGAGTATAAACGCCACCAAATTTCGTTTTACAAATTTAAAGCCGCCCAACAACTTAGGCGTAAGAAACAAGTTTTTTTTTAATAGAATTTCGACGCTAATCAGATAATTATATTTTTATTTAGTTTCTTTTCCTTTTGTTGCCGACTTTTCCTGAGTAAATTTCAAATCTGGAAATTAGTTTCAAATGGGTGGATTGATTCATTGAAGGAGGAGATAATTAACGAAAGTTTAGCCACGTTGACCACGCTTTCGTTCGCCATCTATATTCATCTTGCGTCATCTCAACTACATTGACGCGAAACACAAAAAAACTAGTACAGGCAAAGAGGTCGGTTAAACAATTTCTTAATTTATTTCGTTCGCCTCATAAAATAACATCTACGTTTACGCCCGGTTTCTCTGATTTGTTAGAAGAATTTGGATTCGAATTTGAATTTTATTTTTTTGATTCTAAAAAAAAAAAAAATTTTTGTTCATAAGAAAAGAACATAAGAAGGTTATAACTTTATTTTATACATACATTCGATATTTTTGTACCGGTTGTCACCCTGAAGCGGGATTATTTTTTTTACTTTCAATTTAGAGTTGCTCGCATTTCTTTCGAATTTTTTTATTTTACTTACCTCTTCCTTGTACGCCATCGCGCTGAAAGAAACATATTTAGTAATTATTTTCTTATTTCTCATTATTATTTTTTTTTATAAACTTACCTTTCAAATATTATTTTTTTATTTCTCATTATTATAATTTTTTTTACACTTACCTTTCAAGTATTATTTTTTTATTATCATTAAAAGTATTTTGGTGTCAAAATTTCGTAGTATTATTCAGTTATTGCGGGTTGATGTTAATTCTGAAACTACGTGGCGCTCATTGGCAATAAAATTTTTTTTGAAGACCTCATACTCCGCCGACTGTTGCACAAGCGGCCATCAATTTTGCAAACATTTTACCACCAGACACTAAGAATTTCATGAATAGAATTTTGCTTATTGTAAATTAGAAATTTTTTTGTTTTGATAAAAAGCCACGTAACAAAAGTGGCGCCCAACGCACAGTGGTCCCAAATCCCAAATCTTCGGACAAAAATAGAAGGTATTGTGTAATCGCTACAAAATTTGGTGGACGGGGGTTTTCTAGGTCGCTGAACCCGCATCTGAAGTAAAATCTTCAAAAAACATGTTGGCGGCCCAAGAATGGCGGAAAATTTTCTTCAAAATTCAATTAATCTTCACGAAATCTGGTACTCAGGGGTTTTCGAGGTCGCTAAACACGAATCTATTTTGAAAGAACAGAAGAACATGCTAATCTAATATATGTATGTGGGATATAGTAGATAGGTAAAATATCGAAATAAACAATACAAATTCGAGTATATTCACTCATTTAATGAAAAATTACATTAAACACAAACAGTTATGATAACGATGATGGCGTCGCTGTTAACGTACGTGATCCAGTTTTATATCCGCAATTGCGACGTCGAAATTTATCGACTAATAATAGATACGGAAGTCCACAAATCCCATCAAATGGTCGAAGAACAATCCCAGTAACAATCAAACTCAATGATTGATTCTTCAAAAGGACTAAACCATTCTAAAATTTAANTAAATTCCAAAACGAATTTTCATGTGCGCGTCCTTTTAAGACGATATCCGATTTTATTGTTAAAACTTCTGATTCTATGTCTGTTGAATTTAGTTGGAAGTTATCAGCTAAATTTGAAGAAATATCTTCGATGTCATATTCTCCAAACGGAAATGAAATAAATTCAAAAATAACTTGAAAGGATTGGAAAGGACTGAGATTAGAAAAACGTCTTTCAAATTCTTGATTAATATTTTCTATTTCACAACAAAGCTGTTGAATGTTGCATTGGCCACTAATTTTAATCTGTGTTTCTAAATGTGGAAAATTCTTTAAGTTATTTTTTTTTAATTGTGAAATGTATAATTTCAATTTTGCTTTAAAAGCATTTATTAAACTCACTAATTGAATAATATTTTTTCCTTTTCCTTGTAATTCTAAATTTAGTGAGTTATAATGACAAATAAAATCAGTTAGAAACGCCAACTTTTGTACCCAAAGTGGATCTTCCAGCTGTCTATGTTTTTCTCCCAACAAATTTAAAAATTCTACTATTTCGGGCAATAGCTCTAAAAATCGTTCCAAAAAACATCCTCGACTAAGCCATCTAACGTTGGAAAAAAGCACTAAATCTTCATATTCCGAATCATTCTCCTCTAACTGATTACGGAACAATCGCGTTCTTAAACTCCGTGCTCTTATAGAATTAGCAATTTTTACTGCAACATCCATAACATCGTTAACATCCAACACTTTTGCACATAAAACGTTATTATGAATGATGCAGTGGAATGATATAAAATCGGGAAATTGTTCGTTTTGTCGACAAAGGGCTAAAAATCCATTTTTTCGGCCAACCATACAGGGTGCTCCATCGGTTGATATAGAAACCAACTTATGTAGAGGCAATTTTGTTTTCTTAGTAAATGTAACAAACGTTGTAAATATGTCTTCACCTCGTATTGTTTCTTTCATCGGAAGTATTGTTAAAAATTCCTCTTTTATCGAAATATCGGAAAATATCATTCTTATAAAGACAATTAATTGTGCAGTATCAACGGCATCAGTGGATTCGTCAAACTGTAATGAGAAGAAACTGCAGCTATATATGTCCTCTTCCAATTGTTGAATTACATTCTCATTCATATCTTCAATTCGTCGCGTTACAGTTCGACGAGAAAGTTGTAAATCTTTAATTGCATTAAGAATTTCGTTTTTATTTTTAAAGTTACAAAATAATTTTTCACTCGCTTCAAGGAAAGCTTCTTTAAAAATTTCACCATCCTGATAAGGTTTTTTATGTTTTGCCAAAACGTAGGAAATTGCATACGATGCTTCAGTTGCCAACTTAGATTGTTGCGTAATAGAATGAAATAAAAGTTGCTGTGCTGCTAATTGACCTTTTAATTCTTTTACTTTTCGTTTTCTTAACTCGCTATTTACAGGGTATTCATTTTCATAATTTTTATGTAAACTCGAAAAATGTCTTTCGAGGTTCCCTTTTTTTGCTAAAGCAACTGTAGCACGACATATCAAACACAGGCAATTATCTCTGTACATTGTGAAAAAATAAAGTTCTTTCCATTCATTATGAAAATGATACGTTTTTTGTTTTTTCTTATCCATACTTTTAATCCAATCTTTAAATTTAGAAGGCATACTTAAATATATTTTTAAAATTAAATTACTGAAAATAAATTTACCTGACAAAAAAAAAGGATAGTAAAATTAAAATGCAAATAAATAATTTCCGTGCAAAATTTTGTTGAAAAAAAAAAAAGGACAAAACGCGTAATAAGTAACGTTCAATGATACTTGATTGATTATAGCTAATGTGCCTTTCTTCGTAAGGTATGATGAGCGACTGTGGACCGTATGGAATAGTACACAGTGAGAGTAGCTTTACACGTGCCCGATGGATGCGTCCAGTGCCGGACCGGCGCCGGTTTATAATCCTTTAGGCTGGATTTAGTGCTCGACCGACAATCTGTGCTGATGAGTCGGTCTTGACGAAACGCGCTCAGCGTCAGCTCGCTGTTTGTTCAGTGCTTCGCTACTTGACGAACGGAAGCAGCGGAATTGTATCATGCTCGGATATTATATTCGAAAACGAAGTCGAAATAAAAATAGAAGACGCTATTATGTTCACCCAATAATTGCACAAAGACTGTTACAAGGAGAATTTAGCACGTTATATTCGAAACTACGAGAGCACTATCAGATGTTTTGATGAATTAGTAGCAAAACTTGAAGAAATATAAAACGTCAAAATATGTTTAGAGCTCCAGTATCACCAACGGAAAGAGTGGCCGTCACTTTAAGGTACGTATTGTATAAAGTTTCATATACAGGGTGTATCTGAATGACATGCCCAAACTTCAGGGGGTGATTCTTTGGGCAATTTTAAGGGTATTTTGAAAAAATAATAAAGCAAACACTGCCCGTTCAACAACGGGCTTGTCGATCAAAAGTTGGAATGAATTTTTAATGAAAAAATCTTAGTAGGCTTTGCAATCTTTGTCGGAAATATTTTTGACGTTTAAATTTTTGTGGTTTTCTTACTATTATTATTGTTTTTCAAATTTATGAATAAAGTTCTACCGCATTTACGCTCGTTCACTCGACGTTTCAAAATTTTAAATAAAACAATAATAATAGTAAGAAAACCACTGACATTTAAACGTCAAAAATATTTCTGACAAAGATTGCTAAGCCTGCTAAGATTTTTTCTTTAAAAATTCATTCCAACTTTCGATTAACAACGCTACAGCTTAACAGTTAGTGTTTGCTTAATTAATTTTTTTCTCAGAAACTATTAACTTTTCGAAGAACATCAGAGAGGCAAATAAGTTTTAGAATATTTTCGTCTATCTAAATAAAATATTTCCAATGTATTTATCATCGTCATAAAAAAGATCTAGACAAAAATTGAACGGGGGTGGTTATGTTTAGTAACTTAGAAGGGAAGATTGAAAGTACAAATAGGCTCGAAACATGCCCTATTATAAGCTAAACTTATTTCCCAAATTTCATTTTCTTGGTGTTAATGGTTTTCGGGAAAAATAAAATAAACCAAAATTTTTCACCATTTTTGAAGGGGCGTAGCTCCGCAGGGGAGAGGAAATCGCTGATAGTTTATATGAGAAAGTACGCTTAAAATTGCCTAAAGAATCACCCCCTGAAGTTTGGGCACGTCATTCAGATACACCCTGTATATATATACAAATAACTTTTTTTTAAGTAGTGTTTATTTAAATATACAGAAGCATAAAAAAGTTATTTAAGGTTAAGATAATCTGATAAATCAGAATTTGAATTGACGCTTACGATTTGCATGTTGGAGTGTTCGTCTACTCTTATTTCGTGAGATTCACCTCCATCTGCAAAGATAGTTGCTTGTGATGCTGGTGATGTTAAAATGATAGAGGAAATGGAAGATTCAGGGCGACCATAAGAATCAGTAGATGATCCAGGGTGACCATAACCAACATTTAAAGTAGAGTTATTAGTTATTTCCATTGCGATTTTAATTACTTCTGAGCGGAAATGTAATTTTTGCTGTATGGTAAAATTTTTAGTAATTGGCAAAAGAGAAGCAAAAAATGCCATATCGTCATTTTGCAACATGGCTGTGTTGTCCTTAAACATCTTTACCATTTCCCTCTCAAATTCGTCGTTTTCCGCATTATTTTTATTCCTTTTTAGACGGTTTCTCTTAGTTCCTGGGAAGTTGGGTGGAATAACAGAAGTGATTTGGGAAGTCCCCTCTGTACTAGAACTTATTGAATTTTGAGTATTACTTGCTGTACTCATTGTCGGTAGAGCCGTTGTGATAACATCAGTGTCTTCTATGGTTTCGCTTCTTGGTGTCACATTAGTTATTGTGGATTGACTTTTTTGAAGTGAATCTTCGATGCCCACCGCATGATGTTTATCAAGAAATTCCATCAGGTCGAAGTATATAAATTTTTTCAGCTTTCCACCTCCTGCCCCAGACCTGGTATTTTTTAATGTATTTCTGCATCTAACATACGCGTCACGTGCAGTTTTCCACCGTTGTTGTATGCTTCTGTCTACAAGAAAATAAAATGATTAGTGTGTATTTTGGTTTTAGGTTTCTTGCGACTGGACAAACATTCGCAGATCTTCATTTTAGTTACCGGCTTGGTATAGCAACCATCAGTGGTATTGTAAAANCTATTCCTCGAGCAGTGATCACTGCTATGCTTTAGTTAGTGGTTCTTTTTTAATAATGGTGTAAATTAACAGTTGTATTAAATTAGTTTTAAAAGAAAAACGCTATCCAACAATTAATTTTCAGTAGACGGTAATGTAACCGAAACTAATAAGACAAATATATAAATAATCACCACAGCATATAATTTTAATTAATATTTACCTTAATTCTACAACGGTGATATGGATAAACAAATACATAGAAATAATAATAATTCATGAAATACAAAATTTAAAAAAAACTTACGTTTGGTCTCGTCATCACCGGCTGACGATGGTGTGGAATAAAGCAAAAATTAAAAAATACATTTAGAAGTTCTAATACCCTCTCAGGGACCGCTGCAGCTTCCTTGTTGTCTAAAATCGAAATTAAATAATCAATATTTAATTCACAAGATAAACGAAAAAGAAAAAAAAACTTACATTTTTGCTCATAATGAGCGAAATTCGTAGCATCATCAACATCGGGATTAGTCCCAACAGCTAATTCACCGAGGTAATCGTATTTCTTGAGCCTCATGTTACCATCTTCCTTTTCTTGCACCAATAAAATAAACTCTCGATTGGATGGCATTGTAGAATTAATAACTCTTAGCACATATGAACAGTTTATATAGCTCGAATTATCGGTAGCGGAAGGATGCATGCGTTAATTGATATATTTTTTGCATGGTTAATATACAGTGTGTCCCCGGATAGGTGAAACGACTCTTATAAAATGTAAATTTTTTTCGATATTAACTGTCATCTTTTNCACGGTCTTTATATAAATTATGAGATAAGTCCCATAACTGTGGTTGAAGGCGCACTTCAGTAATTAATCGTTCAGTATCAATATTCATATTGTTGATGTGACTGTACATGCGCTGATGAATCAGTCAAGTAATGAATTGCATCATATACTTTACCGCCCGTCAGCTGACCGACGTACGCCGGGCGGACGCGTTCGACCGACGGTCTTCGTCAGCGCTGCGTAGCCGTACGCACGCTGTTGTTCATCAGCGCAGCAGTGAATTGACCGATGCACTTACTATGATATAGGTACGCACGACGGATATCAGCGCCGACCGTCGGTCGAGCACTAAATCCAGCCTTACACCTAGCCGATTTTCTACCGATCCGGTCGTGTTCTTTAATTGCTCAGTTCAGCTCAGTCTCGAAAACAGGGATTATGAATCGCAAATGTGTTATTGCTATGTTGCTTCTTTACCGAAGACGTCGTCGTCGTGGACTTCAGAAGGAAAGGAAAAGACTATATTGGGTGCACCCTATAGTTCAAAAAAGACTCTTTGTGGGGGCATTTTATACTTTATTCCAAGAATTATTACAACATGACCAAATTTTCTTGAACTATTTTCGTATGTCCATCGCTTCGTTCTATGAGTTAAACCACAAATTAAAGGACGTTTTACAACGCCAGGATACAGTTGCATTGAGGGATTGCATTGAACCTATGCAGATGTTAGCAGTAGCAATAAGGTAAGTAAACATTTTTTAACTTAAAACTTTTAATATAAACTTAAAACATTTACATAATTATATATGCATTATCATTAACGTGAATCACTGCCGAAATCAATCGAGGATACGGACGATGTCTCGGACAACATTCCGTCAGGAGAAAAGCATTGTTGCCCATATGATGAATAATACTGGCGTGCAGAAGTCGTTTGCAATTCCGACTGAGTGCACCGTCCATCGGCTCTTGATGCTACCTGTAATGTGTGAAATTGGCTGCCAGTTCCAGTTTCTAATTGTTGTAGTTTCTGTGTAAACTGTCGACGAACCTCAGAGGCTGGTGATCCTTGTAACATATGATATTGACTACCAGTTACAGTTGTATATTGCGTCTCTGGATATCCCTGTGATGCATCATAATGGGATTCAGTTGGTGAATGTGATGTGAAATCATGTGATTTATCGTTTCCTGTCATGGACTTCGCAGTTGCTGATGATTTCTCTTTTTTAATAGTCGAAATAAGTTGAAGAACGCCCATTTGAAGTCGTATAACGTCATCTTCATCGAAAGAATTCAGAGAGGAGATAATACCTTTGAAGAATGATAAATGTCGATTTTCTTCTTCACTATGGCCCAGTATCTGTAGCATTTTCTCTTCAACGGGATCAATTTTAGTCTTTTTTATGATTTTAGAACGATTATCATATCCTGGTATTTTGAAAGGGGGCTCAGTTCCTTCATTTTGCTCAGATGAATCCTTCTCGTGCGGATGACTGTCTTCAGTTGAGCGCTCTTCAGTAACCTTGTCTAAAAATTTTAGCTGATCATTATAGACATACTTTTTTAAGTGTAATGCGCCAGCGCCAGATTTTGTGGCATCTTTAACTTTTTTTTTTTCGATTTCATGTACGAGTCGCGAATATTCGACCATCTCTTCAGAACATCTTTACCTGAAACAATTTTTTTTATTTCAGATATCTGGCGAGTGGCTGTACCTTCACTGACCTACATTATACCTATAGACTAGGCCTAACAACAATAAGTAATATTGTCAGAGATGTGTGTTTAGCTATATGGAATGTGCTAAGATTAGAATGTCTACCTGAACCGACAAAGCAAAAGTGGGAAGGTATCGCTTCCACTTTTGAAAAAAGAGCAAATTTTCCTAATTGCTTAGGCGCAGTTGATGGAAAACATGTTAGGATAGTAAACCCAGTTGGATCTATGTATTATAATTACAAAGGGTATTCATCTGTGGTGTTAATGGCTGTTGCGGAGTCCGATTACCGATTTATTTATGTCAACGTAGGAAGTTACGGAAAAGATTGCGACTCCTCAATATTCAAGAACTGCTCACTATGGAAATCAATTTTAAATGGCGAACAAGAACTGCCCGAAGCAAAATTCCTTCCAGGTATGACGAATAAAGAAGTCCCATATTGTTTTGTCGGTGACGAAGCATTTGCCCTACACCAGCACTTTCTTCGACCCTTCGGTGGACATAATCTTACCATAACCAAAAGGATTTTTAATTACCGCTTAAGCCGAGCCAGACGGTATGTAGAATGCACATTTGGTATTTTGTCCAACAAGTGGAGAATATTTCATCGAGCAATAAATTTAAAACCAGATTTTGCAGTGAATATAGTGAAAGCCTGCGTTGTTCTACACAATTTTGTTCGGGAAAGAGATGGTTACAAAATTGAAGATACGTTTACTGTGACTGGACTGGCAGAATTACCTGGAGCAACTGTAGTACGTGGAAGAACCAAAGCTAATGATATTAGAAACATATATGCAGATTATTTTATGTCAGAAGTCGGATCAGTCAGTTGGCAAATGTCAAAAATTTAACAAAATAATAAAAAAATATGTTTTATAAGTACTTACCAAATTTGTTTTTTTCATTATCATTCATATCGTTAAATGTTGGATCAAGCGCGCAGCACACGTCTTTCCACGCATTTTTCGTCAAAACTTTATTTTTGTATTTTTCTATAGTTTTGTCCCACAACACCGGCTGAGCTTCCACCAAGCTAATCAACACTTCAATGTCTATTTCTTGCGACATTGTAATGACAACTAGAAAATTTAAAAAATCGCACTACCGGCTATCCATATAAACTACCGACACGGCACATGTGAACGCTATAATACAAATACTCATACTACTACGAACCATCCGGTACCCGGCACCGAGTGCTCCAGTGGGCATAGCCGGCGACAAGGCGGTTGCCAGCGGTCGGGCCGGCGCCGGGTAGGTTCGTCCGGTACGTCGGAAATGGTGCACACTAGCTTATACAACACCAGTCCGATCACCCGGCGCCGGAACGGCACCGGACGCATCTATCAGGCACGTGTAAAGCTACTCTGACTCATATCACAAACCTGCTTTGCAACTAACGTTCGGTCTTATCAACACCGCCGCACCGTCGCGACGCCGCGCCGTATTATTAGGGAGTGGTGAATAAAAACAAGTTATGTGTACAGACAATAAAAACAAAATACATAAGTAAAATAAGTCAAATGTTGTTACAGTAGAGTAGACAGTAGACGCACATTTTTAAATTCATTTGTTGTATTATAAAATAATAAATTTAAAAACTTATGGTATTTGAAAAACTTTTGTGATCTCCTGCCGATGTCTTCGCGATCGACTGTTTGCCCACCTCTGGTATAAACGGTTAAAATTTTCATATAAGTCAGTCGTTACCTTCTACTACTCACATCGCTCGCTCACGTTATAAACCACCTCAAGCTAGTATGTCACGTTTAACCCTTAAATGCCCACGCTACTAAAAGTTACGTATATGCCCGCGCGGGTCCTCTTAGGGACCTCATTTAATTTAAATTTTTAAAGGCTGCATATGATAGTAGTTCGAAAGAGTAATTAATTTCTGAGTATTTTAAATATCAATATATTGTGGTTTAACAACAATAATACTTAAAACGATATTTGATGTTATATACAGTTATTACATGTAATAATTTTTTGTGTCTTCCTGTGCTGTTCACAAACAAACGTCTTACAGTACGTAGATGCTGTGTTGATTTTTCTGTCGATATTGCGTGGACGCTGATGATATCTGGCTCGTTTTCTATTCAAATTTACCTGTCCTGTAGTAGTAGTTTCGCCGGCAACCTGAGTATCTGCCACCAAAATGTTGCAGTCGCGAAGTGCCGTTTATACATATGCCGGATGTATAAACGGCGCACAGTGGTTCAAAACGGCGAAAAGTGACGCATAGACCTTTAGAGATTTATTACATTGATGAAATTTGGTATGTGATTATTGTACCAAAAATTATCGTACAGCCGATGAATGTCACTCCACTTAGCCGTTTTCCCTTCGAATACAATATCTTTGGCCATCATATTATTCCTCATGCTTTTCAGCATATGAGGGACATCAAAAAGATGAATAATTTGATGACCATCAATATTATATACGAATTGATCACCCTCCTTACCACATTCTGCTGAAAGGCTACGCAAGGCAGCTACATTCCAGGAGCCACCATCGCATACAGATGCTACGATGCGAAAATCCGTATGTTTTTGAACGGCTCGTATAACTTCTTTGATCAGTGATTTGAGTATATACTGATTCGCAGCCTTATGGGTAAAATAGAAAGCAACAGGTTGCTTCCATTTTCTCGCCAGACCACGAATCATAAATACCAAAACATGATCTGAAAGTTTTTGACCCCTTTCTGTTCCCACCTCTACAAACCCTTCAACATGCCAACTATTTTCAGTTACCTTCAAATTCAAATTCTTTCCAGTGTCCATCTCATCAAACATAAGTGTGCAGAAACGGTCACGGAGAGCCATTTTACTTGAAACACTCTTCAGATAGGTAAATAAATTTAGGTTGATTCCGCTGGTTAGTTGGAAAGTTGCAAGGGATCGTCTTAATGTTCTTGTAGACGGTAGGGAAAGGATCTTTTGCAGGTATCGGTAGGAGCGGGGACCGTGTTTGAAAATGGAGAGGAATAGGGCTTTCTCTTCTAAGGTATAACGGCGGTTTTTTTTGGATACATGGAAATTTCGAAGGAGGGAAAGAATAAAAACACGGAGAGGTTTAGGTAGGGTATGTATTTGTTGGATATTGGTTAAGCTAGATGGGGAAAAGGGATTTGGATAAACTTTTTGGGATTGAGACAAGTACTGGATACGCTTCTTCCGATAACGTAAAATGGTTTCAGCGTTCTTTAACCTGGCCAACAGCTTCCGCTCCT